TTAGGATATACCATACATGGTATAAACATTAAGTGCTCTATATGCATGCTAGCATGAAGTTCTTGCCCCTGCACGCCTGCACTCCTGCACGACCTGCGGGACAATGCAGGCACCAATAAGTGGAGCGAGGACTGGGTACTCATCACTTGTAGGTACTTTTCAACATGGCAGTCAACATGGCGGCACTGTGGAGCCGGCCGTAACCATGTGTTTTATGCCCGTTTTACCCTGTGCTTTGCTAAAATTCTCCTTTGCGAAGACACGTTTTTCACACCAACAAGTTTAAGGGCATATTTACTGGTTAACTTTGCAGAGTAATCACTAGGGAGTCGGTGTTTCGACAATATGAGCTCTGTAATATTTTCTTCAAGAACTTTATTTCCACTGGCAAGGACATTTTTTCTAAGGGCACTTGCAAATGACTTATTTAGTAAATCGCTTGCACGCCCCGCATCAGCATCATCCTGGTGTGTAAGTTGTGACTTGTTACAGAGATACAGGTCTGACGTGAAAAAGACACAAAAGTCCTGGTTTTGCACCGAAAAGTATCCGGTATGTACAAGTCATGATAGCTTCTATATATAGAAGACAGCTCGTTACCTTGGTGGTCCTAATACGAGAAAAAATGTTTAAGTTTTCTTTTTTTTTTTTTCAGTCAATGCTCCTGATGGGTGATCTCACCCAGAACCTTCAAGGGAATTGTCCCGGGGGCGGGGCTGGCAGAGGAGGGTGCATTAACTTCTCAGAATTTGGGAAAGCCCTTGCCCTATTTCAGACCAAAATATATGTTTTTTTTACAGCTTGAATGCAATCAAACTTTGTGGAATGATTGTTTTTGATTGAGTTCAGCGATGAAACAAAATCAAACCAAAACATTTGTGTGTGAGTTTGATTGTGTTTAATTTCTTTACTTAGTTGAACCCAGTTGAACTTCATTGGACATTGAAAAATCTCTCTTACCATGCAATGCAGTGAAGTCAAACAAAGCTAATTCAACAGTGCAACTTTCTTCATAAGACACCGTAGAAAAACAGCAACATTCAGGAAAATATCCACATTTGTCTCATATAACTCCCATTTAAAATCAGATGTTATATTCCAACTTTGACCATTCAAATTAGTCAAACTCAATCGAAGTTCAATTGCATTTGACTACTTCGATTTTACTGCAAGGGTCTGATTGTTTTTGAGTGCCAAACTTTCTGTCAATTGAGCCAAATCGTTTGATTAAGTTTGGTTAAGATTGATTAAGTTCAGTTAAGTTTGATTAATTAAACATTAGATTTGGTCTAAGAAGTTATAAATCAGGTATATTTACCACCCTCTAATGGTAGACATCATGCCAGGATAATGGTGTATTATATATATTTCAATACATACCTCTTACTAACCGAGTTCAAGGGCCATACTGTAATTTTCGGACCAAGTTTTTTCCCATCAATTTATGGCCCAGGCGCTTGGGCCATAAATTGAAGGGGGAAAAAACAAGGATCCGTACTTTACAGTACCGACCGAGAAAATAAGGTTAGTAACGTATATACTATATCTCTTCTGTGTGTCTGACAGGTTCGAGAACGATTTCTATTCACACGGAATGGCTTCAAATTTTTTGTCACACCTCAAAAGCAATACAAGTCAGTTTGAAACCGTTGTTAAGTGACTGTCAAGTTATTAGCAGGTTTTAATACACAGTTTCAGAAGTAAGAGAAAGTTTTAAACCTGTAATTGCTAAAAAAGTTAAGAGCACTTCGCGATAAATCACGAAACATTTTAGCAACAAACACAGCTTTAAATTTTAGCGGGCCGTGCAGTAGAGTACAGTCCGCTAAATTGACCAAACACAGCACGCATACTAACTGAGAGATATAATAAAGCCTGCTAAAGACACTAATTACTAAACAAAGCTTTTTAATTTTATTTTCTAGGATGTAGAAACTCCTCAAACTCTTTTAAGCAACACAGGTATTTATTATGTTAAAAGCAATCTTTGCGCAGTGTGGAACAATTGACCACCCACTTAAGCATATAGCAACAGATTCTGAGAACCAAACACAGCAGGAAGTACATGTTATATGACAATAAGTATGGAGTACTAGAATATCAGTGTTGACCAAAGCTTCATACACAGATTGTTACCTTTACAGTTCTATATTTTGTGTTGTGAGCCTGTGAACGAAGTAGTATCAAAAGTTTTTTTGGCAAGTGCACCACTGTTGTAAAGATGTACATGCATGAACCAAGGGGTTTGTAGATTTGTGATCAAAGTATTAAATGTTAACTTAAATACTTGTCTGATTTCAGCATTTTTCTCTTTTAACAGATTTCAGGGAAAATATTGTTTCATTTTCCACAAAACTCAATGTAAACATCCCAGATGTAAAAGACCTTTTGGCTGCTTTCACTCACGAGTCATACCTGATAGCAAATGCTGACAAACTTATGGAACCTCATGAATGTAACGAAAAACTGGCTTTTCTTGGTAAGACTTAAAGTTGACAAATAATTCTAATTTACATAGATATTTCTTCCCCTTGTAGGAAACTGTAAGTTTGTAAGTTATAAATATACAGTTTACTGTGATTTATATTAATTTTACCCTAAAAGACTGGTAATGTTACTGGCAAGAGAACGTACTTAGCTTTATCTTTGTACCTTAATATTGTCAATTTGTTAGCAAAGCTTTCTTAGTAACAGCTAAGCATGAGATGGGTTTTTTACTCAATACTTTCTAGGTTTTCTCAGCACTTTTTTTCAATTGGCTACTATAAGCTGTGTTAAGTTCATTTGTTGTAACTTATTTGTTTTGAGCTCTGACTGAAATATGTCTCTTTAGGTGCACAGACCACAAGAAAGTGTATCACAGAGTATCTTTATCACAACTTTCCTGAACTTTCAGCATTACAGATCTGGTAAGACTAGTAGAGAGTCATGTGAATTTACTTACTACGTGGTGAATAATAAGCTTATCACAAGACCTGTTTTCACACATGTGGTCACCTTGCTTTCAAACAAGACAGCTTAACATAGGTCCTTCCGTCATGGGCAGAATGAGTGAAACATGACATAACTCAGTTTATATTAATAAGAATTAATAATATTATTATTGCATTATACTCAAGAAAGTTGTAGTATAATTAATTCAGATCATTTGTTGCAGGGATATACAGAATGCTTTGTTAGATGATTATGTATTGCAGAAAGCAGTGGAGTGGAATATCAAAGGAAAGACTCTTTTTTCTGTGAGTTTATCACATATAAATGTCAATTTTTTGCTTTTTGGTAGCTGGAGTTGCACTCTGCAAATGAAACAGAAACAGAAATTGTACAATTCTATACTGTTTTTGTTTTAGAGACAACCACATGAACTGATGCAGAGGCAAACTGTATTAGCTCTAGTTGGAGCAGTGTATACTCATGAGGTCAGTAAAGCAGTACATATGTCATCAGGGTCATGTTAACTGATGGCATATTTCAGAAATGTTTTTGGCTGGTATTTTAATTTTCTAAAGTGAGACAACCATGCTCAAGGAATGTTGATCTTTTGAACTGTTGTGACTCCATGAAAGTGAAGTAATCAGTTCTCTCATTGAGAATTTTTCTTCTTTTTGTGTTAGAGTCCTGAAAAAGCAGATGCATTTGTAAGGTCGCATCTTGTACCGGAACTGACAAATGATAAGATTGAGGAGCTCGTAAAACTGCAACACCCAAAGTTCATTCTTCAGTGTATATCAGATATGGTAGGACACTTTCCCTTGAAGACAAAGTAAGCATCATTTGTTTGGCTGTGCTTTTTTAGTTTTTGTGAATCCTGAATACTGTCGAAAAAGACTGATATTTGTTTGTCTGTTTGTTTGTTTCATTATATTTGTAATCTAAGAAAACTTGCAGTGAATAATATTGTCAGTTATTTGTTGTAAATTTTGTCTACTGTTGTCACAGTGTGACTTCAGTAAACAAGGTCTCTAAAACAAAACTGACCAATAAGATTACAGAACATTGAAAAAGGTTTTGTAAAGTAACTAACATTAAGTTTTTGATAAATTTCCAACTTTTGATTGAAATAAAAATAGGTTTATTTTGTGTTGTTTCTAGACTTGATTCCAAAGAGAAGAGCAAATCTCATCTTCATCTGAATAATCCATTCATCTATTCCGTCAGTGTTATACGTGGTGAAAAAAGTGAAGTACTAAGTCAAGGTATGATTCCACTGACTTACATCTTTCTATGTTACCACCATCAGTCATGAAACATGGCTATAAAGGTTTAAACTAGGGTGTTACAAGACTTCATGGAGGCAACAGGAAATTATTAGATACTTCTGACAGGAAAATAAGTAGTTCCTTTCTATTGCACAAATACTGCATTATTTCTAACAGTAATATTTTGTATTTGTTATATTTGTTATGGAAAGCAATAAATGATTACATTAAAAAAAGGCTTCACAAGTTGCTTGTTGTCACATTTGTGTTTAAATGACCACAGTACATGTATTTGGAACAGGTTTCTAAATTTCTTTCAGTATCACTATGGTTAATGAGACATATACATGATTGAACATGGCCTGAAGATGCCATTATCTTAACATATGCATGCTCATTGTTGAAGCTCTTTTTATCATAGAGAGTTACGCAGTTGTAATGTTTGAAGACACATCACATGATTCATGTACATTCTGATTCAACCAAAAAAGGTGTATCAAGTAATTTGGGGTTAAAAACCTCACTTGTTAGACTGTCCTAATGGTTTAACATTTTATTGCCTGTTTTAGTGGTCTGCCACTCGCTATCCTTGGCAGAGAAAAAGGTATGTTAACCTGCAATTTTATAATAAGCTATGTAAGCTTAATAAAGGAAATAGAAAAATGATATGTGCAATGTATCAGCTGCCACAAATGTTGGCATTTTGTATAATGATTTGTTTATGGAAAGCATTTTGCAGTGGGCCATTTTTGTATTCTCTTACCAAACTGGATTAGATTGAAATGAAAGGGAATACAAGCTAATCTTTTCAAATGCAAATGAAATGAAGCTGTTTTTATTATATTCCCATAAACTGCCATAATTACAAGCTGGTTCTAATACCAAGAAAACAAAGATGGCCTATTGAATGGAGTGTGTACCTTACATTAGATGTTGTACAAGGCATTAAATTCACATTACAGGCATGCCAAGAAGCTCTTATAAAGCATTACCCAGATGAATTCAACAAGTTTCAGTTAGTACTTGACCGGGATGATTTTGTAACAGAGGCAAACATCGATTTTGGTTTGACTGTTGCTGAACAGCGAGTTGTGGAACTGGACAAGGTACAGTGATTTGTGTAATGCCTATCAGGCATGTCCAGATACTGCTCCACTCTTGTGCTAGACCTAACTAATGAATTATGTACAGCAGAAGAGCATAATTTGAATCAGTTTGGTGCAGCACATGAAATTACATACACCAAACAATGTCAAGTTTGGGACAGGCTGTTACATCATACATTATTAGAGGGACAACTGATGCATACACTCCAGTCAGCATTCTTTCTCATGTGTTGAGTTACCAGCACACAAGAATTTGTTTGGGAAGAGCTATGCTCATGGTTGGTCTTGAGTGGAGTGGCATGACTAGTCATATTTGACATTTAACAGCACAGATAATAAATTATACAGCAACACCAAATTTCATTACTTCAAAAATCTTTGAAGATATAATTGTGATTATAGCAAAAGTGTAATAATAGCTAGCTTATGAATTTGAAACTATTGTTTTATGTTTAGCCACAATATTTAGATGTGCCATCTGAGAACGATAATCTTTAAATTTAATTTATAAGAAAGTATAACCTTGTCATGTATAGTAGGCTGTGTAAGAGTGGCAATATTCATCTGAAGTAGTAGGTTTGTACAACAGCTTATAAATCCCATGCCCTCTTAAGTGTGAATGGAAGCTCCAAGAACCTTTTCGCATAAGTTTGTAGACTAGAGTGAAAAGCACCTGATATCACATTTTGTGTTATCCTTAGGGAGAGGAGAGCTTTGGTTTTCACATAAGAGGAGGTGAAAAGAAGACAAAACAGAATGAGAAGTGGCTTGTGTTTCACTATACAACCCCTGTGTTTATTTCACACATAGTGTCTGGGGGTGTTGCAGACAGGTAGGGAGTGGTTACCGTACCAGATGAGCCCCAACAAGCAGGTTTTCCAAGGATTGACTTTGCTAGTGGCCAGTACACTACCATAGTTATAATGTTAATATTGTGATCACAAGTCATGCAGTAAGGGATAAGCTGACCTCCAGACCTTTCAACTATATTATCTTGGAAGGATTTGTTATTGTTACCAGACTGAGTATTGAAGTGGAATTTGTTTGTTGTTCCTCTTGCAGACATGGGGGATTATCTGTTGGTGACAAGATTCTTGCTGTAAATGACAGAGTAAGGCCTACATTTTCCACTTTTTAAGCAGCATGTTAAAATTTTTTTTATGCCATATGCCATATTTGGCTGTTGGTTTTAGGTTGCTTTCTGCTGTGAGTTTGAAATAGCTGTTATTGTATAACCACATTCTCACCACTCGCCCTTTCATAATCAAGTGCAGATTATGATAAAAATAATCACACTGACCCAGAAGATCACACAATATGAACTACTTAATATGCTTTTAGATTCACACCATTTTTAAAACGTTTTTTAGAGTTTGGAGGGGCTTGATCATGAGAGGGCTGTAAATCTTTTGAAATCTGTCTCAGGTAAGGGTAGTTAATTTGAATTTCTTGTTAGAATAGCTTATTAGAGCTGGATTAAGCCTTCTGTCACCTTACTCAACAGCAGGAAGAGTAGCATAGAGTCAAGCTTAGGTTATATAAACCAAACATTCTCAACTGTTATGATTTAGAGGGGTAGTTGTTTTATCCAGATGTGATTATCAAATCACTCAGGTAGCCTGCAGTCCAGGCGTCTTATAAGGGAGTGCAAGCTAGTGTTATGAGCTGGCGATTGTTTACCAAACCACCATAGAAATTTCATTCTCTCACCAACCTTACTCTCCTTCAAAAATACAAGACAGCTATCAAGCATTTAGCAAAGAAATACTGAGCCTGCACTGCACGGTACAGGTTTATAATTTGGTGTACACTTGACAGAACATATTTAACAATGGAAGTAGACTACAATTAGAAAAGATGGATCTGTCCACTGATTAACCCTTAAAGGCTTCCTTGCTATTTCTTACTCTGAGAATTTTCTCTTCTTATTTGATTTTATTATTTTGTCATGTCTGGTCAGGTGAATAAATAAATAATTGATTAATTTATTGTTTCTCTTGATTTCAGGTCGTGTGTCCTTGACAGTCAGTCACTGCAAAGAAAGTAGGTTGTCTTCTGTTTTGTACTGGTGGTTTTTGTCACAATCTAGTTATATTTTTTCAGTCTGACTTGTACATGTGAAGTGTAATGATTTCTGTTATAGAAAAGGACAGAGTAGACTGTAGCAAGTATGGACTATAAAAATCGCAAATGTGATAGGTTCCCTCATCATTTACTATGTGTGTCATCTATAAGTATAAATCTACTAGTGTTCTATCACAAATACCGTTCTCTGATTGGCTACACTACTATCTATTCTGTGATAGATAGTGAGTAACGTAGAAGTGTACCCTTGTTAACAAAATGACAGCTGCTTCTTGGCATTTTCAAAGTGTCTGTGAAGAGGATTTAGATAAAGTTTTGAACGACTTGTAGATTTATACTAAAACAATTAGATTATTCGCTCTTGATTTCTATGCATGATAGTGCATCCTCGTCAACAATCACGCAATAGAAATCTCGAGCTCGTAATCTAATTGCTTAATAGAACACAGTGACACATATGCTGGGCTAAAATGGATTTTGACCAAAAATTGCATCTTAGTATAAATTGTAATGCAAGTTTAGAATTGCTTTCTATAATTGTGGCAATTAAAACAGTAATTAGACTACTTTTCCTTGCCGGTCAACTCTGCTGTGCCACACTGAATATTATCTCATAGAAGACTTTGGCTTACTGAAACCAACTAGAAACTGGTTCATAGATATTTTTTGCTTTGTCTCATTTCGGAAAAGCTAACTTTAGTCCTCTTGTGTTCTTTCTCACAGCATTGATCGCTGATCAGATTGAGATGAAGTACAAAGAAATAAAACGTAAAAAGCGCCTAGCAGAATTATCATCTGACATATGGTCAGAATGGCATCAAGCTCAAGCTAACCAGACACCATCACAGTATAAAGATGTCCTCAAATATCACAATGATGCTAAGAAGACATCATCTTAGATAAGCTGCATAATCAATTTAGTATTCTCTCTAATCTGGTGCAGTCAACTGCAAAACTAACAGATGAGTGTCATAATATAAAATGAATGCTGTGAAACAACTAAAATCAACCTGTTATCTTTCACCATTGACAGCTAGCCCAGTGTTTGAATAAATATTTGCATTTTTTGACAACAATCCGACTTCTACCATTTTATCTCAGTTTCCTAGTCTCCCTCTTTGGTGGGTTTTCGTTGTGCAATATTCTTTTCTTGTTGCATGTCAAGCCAAACCTGTGGTGCAGGTGACCATGACCATGTCTCTGCATGCACAGTCTTCATTCATGTCAGGGGTTTTATGAAGGGCCTGGCACTGGGCAAATTGACTGGTTGTGAGGAAGATTTTGCCTGACTGGTTTGACCATCTAGAGGAAAGTTTTTCTTTCTTAGAATTTCAGTTCAACTGGTCTTGCCCACCTGTGAAAATCAGTTGTCCTCTTGCTGAAAATGTCAATGAAGCCCCTGATTCATGTGCATGTGATTAAATGTCAAACATTCTCCAGTTATCTCACATAGTGTGGGAGGCACGGTGGTCTCATGGTTAGTGAGCTTGTCTCCAGATCGAGCAGTCCGGGTTTGAACCCTAGCCAAGGACATTCCGTTGTGTTCTTGGGCAAGACATGTTACTCTCACAGTGCCTCTCTCGACCCAGATGCATAAATGGGTACTGGCGAACGTAATGCTGGAGGTAACCCTGCGATGGACTGGCATCCCATCCAGGTGGGAGTAGAAATACTCCTAGCCACTTCATGCTACAGAAACTGAGATAAGTTCCGGCCTGATGGGCCACTTGGCTCATATGCAGACTGCACCTTTTTTTTTACCTCACATGGTACAAAATGGGCAATTATACATTCTGGCACAAGAAAAGGTCTGTTATGAGTATTTCAAAATGAAGAACACTTAATTGAACGTCCAATCAGTGAAGTACCGATATCCAGCTATATAACCAACAAATATAATAGGCTGCTACTGAATTCCACTAAACTTGAGGGTTGTGAAACAGTTGCATCAATTAATCTGATTGATCCACCTAGATTAGCCGAATACTACCAGCGGATCAATTGACAATATTGTAAAGTTACGTTCTTAACAAGTTGCCTGTTGATATTGGATTTCTGTTTCATTTTACACGACACTGCCAGGCTTAAAAATAGTCTCGAAAACATTTTGTCGTTAGGCTTGATCATACTTTACTTGGGAATTCAAAATTAGAATGTAGGCAGGAAACCAAGCAAGAAAGTTCAGTGCAAATATGGTAACTGAAGTCATGAAGGGGTGTTCATTATGCAAACTTTACAAGATTAAAAAAAAAATTGCTTGATCCTAAAAATGTGGCCATTGCATGTCAAGAATAAAATCTAATTTGTGTTAAGATAGTGCCAAGAATTCCAGTTGAAAGCATGATAACCTTTTAAATTTTTTTTGTCATTTTTATTACTTTTTCAACTAACTTGAAAAGACAAACCTACTCAGCAAAAAGTGATTCCCTTTGGTTCATATCAATATTAGGTTGGTCAGGTTAATAGTGGGCTGTCTTTTTCATTGTCTAAAGCCTTGGTCAAACGTCTCATGATAGTCGATGATAGTTGATGATAGTCGGTGAAAATTCGGGGAGAATCATTCACCTATCGTCGACTATCATGCACCGTGTTGCCAGGCTTTTGACTAAGGCTTAAAATAAAACCCAACACAAGCTTAAGTGATGAGTGTAAAGAACCTTCTACTGGAGTCAAACCTGTAAATCACACAAAAAAGCAGATCTACTTTGTTTTCATGGAAAGTAACATTTCAGGGTGAAAGGTCAAATCAACCCTGGTTTAACAAAAATATTTTTTTATATTTTTTAATTTGCTTTTGAACTTTGTGTAAAAATTAAATGTCTAGAGAACCTAATGTAGGTTATGGTTCATTGATAGACTGATACCTAAAAATGGTTTCCCTCAGTAATTAATAGTCAGTTTATGTATAATAAATATTTTCTCAATATAACCTTTGTACAGATTTTAAACAAATCTTACATTTCATTTGAAAATGTCAACAATTTGTACAGTATCAATTTATGAGTTTTATTTTAATTTAGAAATAATGATTATGTGAAAATATTGATTTGCCTCACTTGAGCCATTCAAAAGAAATGAGGCCAATAATGATGACATCACTAATATTTCAAAATTAATTAACCAGACACAAGCAGAAACTGCTGATGACATTTTACTCAAATTGTTCAACCACGTGAACATTAACTGTTTTTCCACATTAATTTTAGCTTTTGATTTTCATATACAGTGCTAACGCTGGAACTAAGTCCACCAGCCCAAATTTTGGGTAAATTGACAAATGAAATCCTTTGATATTACCAATAGATTCCCAACATGAAGTAACCATAACAAATGTGACCATTATTATTTTAATCAATAACCGATAATTAATTAATTAACTAACTAATTAATCTTATTGGTCAATTTTTGCAAAAAAGCTGAATTTTCTCGGGTGGCATTAGTTTTGCACTGTAAGGGCTAGAAAGAGTTTTAAAGAAAGAGAACTATGAATACAAGAGTTGCTTTTTGTAAAAGGCAAAAACCATAGTTAATAGAGGGGACTGGTTATGAAGCCCAGCAAAAGTCAAAGGAGCAAACAAAGAGGCCAAGATTTATGTTGGAAGGTCCACGAGCATGCACAATCTTTTGTTTTGCGCTCATACACTATGCACGAATTACGTAACCAACACGTTTCTATTGGTTAGTTCCTCAGTACAGAGTAAACAACTATTGTCTTTGTGCACATTCAAGGCAAAAAAGAGAATAAAAACATACAATAAAGAACTTTGTTGAGTTTCATAACCATTACCCTCTATTAACTATGGCAAAAACACCATATATATTTTTTTTATATAATTTCAGTCCACAACAGTTCTTAACTAATCTGAGCTGTTACAATATCAACAACGTCAATGTGGTTTTGGTAGTACATGTATATTCTTATACCTTTGAAGAGGAAGTATTTTCACCACAAAATACTTCCATAGAAAATTTTCTTTAAATTGTAATATCGAAGACTGCATCAATACCCTTAAAGAGAACCTCTAATTTATATATTGAACACTGTACCTATAAACTCTAATTTACATTTAAAAATTATGTTATTCTGCTTCTTCTCTAGATAATCCTACTGGTTCACCATATTTTAGTTTCTGTCCAGCTTGAACATGAAATTCAAAGTCTTTAGGCGCCTCAAATATCAAGACAATAGTTGATCCAAGGTTAAATGCTCCCATTCTCTCACCACGAACAAGAGGAACTCCTTCAGGTTTATCGTTAAGGTATTCTAATTCATGAAATGAGCCTGGAGAATACCTTCCTGCACAGTTTGTTTTCAAATCCTGCAAAAGTAAATGAAACAAAGCTATAAGTAAAAGTTTGCAGTTATAACTCTTACTTATGCCCAATTTAAGCTTTGTCTATGGGGATTTAGGCTGTCAAGAAGGTGGGAGAGGAGGAAGTGTTTTCATACTATCCAAACAGTGCTACAGGGAGACATTGGTGGTATGCATTTGCATGACTGAGAAAAAGGCTTGTACTACCAATTTTTAGCCGAGATCACAAAGCTGATAATCAAAGGTACCTTGTCAAACTTGAGGTTAATAGATCCAACATTGTAAGCTCCGACAGCCGTGAAACTGAAAAATCCATGTTTCCAGGAACCACTGAGAACAACACGTTCATTATGGTTGAACAAACCAGCAACCATTTGAGCTATTCCTGGGTGCACAGAAAACAAATCCCCTGCAATGACAAAGCACATGGAGCTGAGTCTTCAATTGCCTAGACATTTAAGGATACTTTTGAATGATAGTTTACCAAGGTAGAAAATAGCCAAGAGAACAAAGGTGCTGATGGCATTTGGTTGATTACAAGAGATTTTAGCATGTGTAGGAATAAATGAAGGTGGTTGTTTACATGAGTTTCCATTGGGGAAATTCAACTTCAGCAAATTACAAAAACAAGATCAGGAGTCAGGATACTGAATAGATGTGTAATACAAACTTTGCAGTGAAGGAATTATGGCAAAACTTGAAACATTGCTACAGCACACTTTTCAATGTTTTTACACAGAAATTTACTAATAAATTAGTAATGAGTAATTTCATAGAAATTAATTTTATAATGAAAGTGACAATATGAAGTCACAATGTTTCAACCTCTCACACTTGAAAATGACCTTGGAGAGGTCAAAACGCGATGTTTTATCATTATTTTTTATTACAAAATCAATTAAGAACAACAGAAAATAAAATGTTTGACTAACCTGGAAAATGTCTCCTGAGTTTGACATTCCATTCACTAGGTGAATGAAATGAATGATAGTCACCAGGTCCCAGGTAAATTACACAGTGATATAGGCTTTTATTGTTATTTGATGCTAATTCCTTTAGTGTAGAACTGGATGGTTGATCTGGTCCAAGGAAGGTTTTCATTGAATAAGTTATTCCTTTGACTTGTTCAACCATGTCATTTTCCACCTCACCAAAATGGAGCACAGTCCCATCAGCTGGACTCACCTAAGAAAAACATAAATTATCAATTTGATGTTGAGCATAGAAATGCACCACGTAAATCTAACAGTCTTTAGATCTACCTCAGATTCTCCTAACAGAGCACTAAAGTTGTGTGTAGAACTGAGTAATAAGAATATTGATATTTGCAGAAGAACAAGAACCAGCTGAGAAAACCTGTCAACACAAGACAATGGAATGTCTGCTTTCCCTAAAAACATAAATGGCATAGAGGTAACATTGTGCTAGGGGTTATCAGGTTATGCGCTGCAGACTGTGCACATAGAAGGGAACTGAGTGAGTTAAATCTTCACTAGTACTTTACCCATCCCTCACAACTCAATTACATAATCTGAGCAGATACTTACAACAGAGCTGGCATCACAGATCTTTCTGGCATCAGGTTTAAGTTGCCTTCTAAAAAATGCTCCAAGACTTGGATAATTTACAAGTTCTTCTTCAACTGCTTCAGCAACATTGCAAGCAAAATACCATGAAAATGAACCAAGAATTGGTTTACGTAACCACAATGGCAAGTCAACATCACACACTTTGCCCCAAGCGCGAGAACAAACTCTTGTGGGTAACTTCTTGAACAATGCAACCTAAAAAAGCAACAAATCATTAGTAAGTAGAATCCAAAAGTTTCGTGACGTGACTACGTAGTCACACAGTTAGTCACGCAATCTCACCTGCCATTGACTTGGTTCAACGGATTCGCCTGCCTCGAGTTTTCGTTTTTCTCTCTCCTTGATGTGCCAGAATTGCTGATAACACACGTAGGCGAAACCAACACTCGCTGGAATACTAAACCAACGAAGAGTTCCAAAATAGCTTCGTACAGCAGTTCCTAGTCTCTTCGCCCCTAAAAATGGACAAGAAACCCATTTCAGACTTCACTCAAACGGAATTACAGCACACACAACATTGAGAAGATTTTCACCCGCTTAAATAGTACAATACGTGGATCGAAAGAAATGTTGGTGGCGAGCACTCATGAACTGTACAAACTTGTTGACAGCCTGTCTTTGTTTATCAATACGAGCTAAAAATTTTGTGCAAAACTCAATGATTTCACGAAAACGAAGTTTACGTCTTTTCAGTCGACGAGCTTACCTTTCATTGCATGGTATCTACGACAAGGATAGAATTCAAGGATAAAAACTTTACTGTACAGAATAGGTAAGCTAGAACGTGTTGTAACAGCACGCGTGGACTTCACGACCGTCACTGAAGATCGTATGTAGGAATTGTACAAAAACGACTTCGCAGATCCACGTAATATGTTATACATCATAAAAAGATGAAATCACGTTTTCTCTCTGACCTCTTCAAACCAAGAATTAACCTAACAAAAGGAGGCATTACAACGAAAAAGCTGACAATAGCTATTGCGCCATGCTGCCTCGTGGGGGATCAAGGACTTGTACTGAATTCTGGGATGTTTTGATTTGTCTCTAGGGAAGGGAGGGTTCGTCAAAATTGTTCGACTTCTCGATCACGTGCTAAGTGGAACTACGTCAAAGGTCAACTTCGATTTTCCTAGCAGATTGCCAAAATTTCCGTGGTAAAATGTGCATCTCGGAAATCAAAATCATAGAGCTCTTGTTTACATCGCTGAACGAAGATTTTCTTTGTCTAAATGCTATGGCACGAACACTTATGTATCACTTGTTTTACACCGAGTTCAAAGTTCTTCTTCTCCAGTATATCACGTGATAGAGTCCACCCAAGCCGCGCCAAGTAATTTTACGGCCCTTTGGAAAATTGACATTTTTTTTTATCAATAATCTCCTTACTAGGTGCTTTCAGTTTGGTTGTTTTTTTGGTGAAAACTTTTCCGACTAAATAAATCTGTTAGATCGTGTCAAAATTAAACTCCCATGTAAGCGTGGTAGTACCCTACAAAGAGGCGTGATATTACCAAGCCGCGTTACTAGGAAAACCTGTTTTACTCAGATAACTTTAACTAGTAAAGAACACCAGACGGTACACGGTATCATTAAACTTTTCGCAAGGGCTGTTTTATGACTTTTATTGAATTCTTGTCAGGGTTAACCCATTGCAGCCAACATAGGCTGGTTTAAATGGGGCCCTACAACGGACTTGGACAACTTTATTTCACACTTTTATTTCTACATGTAAGAAGATATTACTGGAATATTCAAAGAAAATACAGCGATTTTGTTAGCGAGGCATATGACTTACGCGAGTTGCCTGCATTCGAGAAAGGAATTTTAAACCACCAATCCGCAACCTCCACCGTACCGCGACATACGCGAATTATTATTTCACATTTTCCCCCACAGACGTTTTAGGCGAAGACTTTACCCCGAAACATTTGCCAAAAGATTCGCGATCTCCTGTGATAAAAGGATTTAAGTGCAAGCCTTATTCCTGTCCTAAAACCTAACGCCAACCGCACTTGCACTTATCTCATCTAGTCTTTATTTACATGTAATTTTCTAGTCGACGCCTAATTTTTCAACTCCCGCAGGCAAAATGGCAAGCAAAATGGTCAAACAAGATTCAGCGAGGCAATCCCAACTGTATGTTGGAAATATATCGAGCTAAATAGTCCATGATTATCAAAGAACATGACGTTTCACTCCATTGAAGGTGGAGAAGGCTGGAAACGTACCGCTTCGACTGGTTACAAACCCGATGAAACCGGTTTGGCCGCGACGGTCGAGCGGTCGTGATGACAGAATGCAAATTCACTTGAACATTTGTACATTACCGTGCTGGATGTCGGATGGTCGTTACCGTACCTTTCCTTGTCGTCCTGTGTAGAAGGGTCTCTGATTTATTCCTTACGGGCCAAACAAGGCCATAGCTTGCGAAGGCGACCACTACGACGAGACAGATCGCGGAATGAGCATAAAGAACGCACGACATAATCCAAGTGGAATCATGTCTCAGATCGTTCAGGTGGCGATAACCAGCAAAAGAAATTTCATCATCAGCGTGTAACCGCATTTTGAAGCGATAGTATTAAGTACAGTCGAGGATAGTAAATGTAATGTCGTTTATCCCTTCGAGTAGGAATCCACGACAAACACAACGTCTTGTGTACTTTCACGTGAAAGACAGCAGCAGGAGATTCTACATATTTTNCTTTTTGTAAAAGGCAAAAACCATAGTTAATAGAGGGGACTGGTTATGAAGCCCAGCAAAAGTCAAAGGAGCAAACAAAGAGGCCAAGATTTATGTTGGAAGGTCCACGAGCATGCACAATCTTTTGTTTTGCGCTCATACACTATGCACGAATTACGTAACCAACACGTTTCTATTGGTTAGTTCCTCAGTACAGAGTAAACAACTATTGTCTTTGTGCACATTCAAGGCAAAAAAGAGAATAAAAACATACAATAAAGAACTTTGTTGAGTTTCATAACCATTACCCTCTATTAACTATGGCAAAAACACCATATATATTTTTTTTATATAATTTCAGTCCACAACAGTTCTTAACTAATCTGAGCTGTTACAATATCAACAACGTCAATGTGGTTTTGGTAGTACATGTATATTCTTATACCTTTGAAGAGGAAGTATTTTCACCACAAAATACTTCCATAGAAAATTTTCTTTAAATTGTAATATCGAAGACTGCATCAATACCCTTAAAGAGAACCTCTAATTTATATATTGAACACTGTACCTATAAACTCTAATTTACATTTAAAAATTATGTTATTCTGCTTCTTCTCTAGATAATCCTACTGGTTCACCATATTTTAGTTTCTGTCCAGCTTGAACATGAAATTCAAAGTCTTTAGGCGCCTCAAATATCAAGACAATAGTTGATCCAAGGTTAAATGCTCCCATTCTCTCACCACGAACAAGAGGAACTCCTTCAGGTTTATCGTTAAGGTATTCTAATTCATGAAATGAGCCTGGAGAATACCTTCCTGCACAGTTTGTTTTCAAATCCTGCAAAAGTAAATGAAACAAAGCTATAAGTAAAAGTTTGCAGTTATAACTCTTACTTATGCCCAATTTAAGCTTTGTCTATGGGGATTTAGGCTGTCAAGAAGGTGGGAGAGGAGGAAGTGTTTTCATACTATCCAAACAGTGCTACAGGGAGACATTGGTGGTATGCATTTGCATGACTGAGAAAAAGGCTTGTACTACCAATTTTTAGCCGAGATCACAAAGCTGATAATCAAAGGTACCTTGTCAAACTTGAGGTTAATAGATCCAACATTGTAAGCTCCGACAGCCGTGAAACTGAAAAATCCATGTTTCCAGGAACCACTGAGAACAACACGTTCATTATGGTTGAACAAACCAGCAACCATTTGAGCTATTCCTGGGTGCACAGAAAACAAATCCCCTGCAATGACAAAGCACATGGAGCTGAGTCTTCAATTGCCTAGACATTTAAGGATACTTTTGAATGATAGTTTACCAAGGTAGAAAATAGCCAAGAGAACAAAGGTGCTGATGGCATTTGGTTGATTACAAGAGATTTTAGCATGTGTAGGAATAAATGAAGGTGGTTGTTTACATGAGTTTCCATTGGGGAAATTCAACTTCAGCAAATTACAAAAACAAGATCAGGAGTCAGGATACTGAATAGATGTGTAATACAAACTTTGCAGTGAAGGAATTATGGCAAAACTTGAAACATTGCTACAGCACACTTTTCAATGTTTTTACACAGAAATTTACTAATAAATTAGTAATGAGTAATTTCATAGAAATTAATTTTATAATGAAAGTGACAATATGAAGTCACAATGTTTCAACCTCTCACACTTGAAAATGACCTTGGAGAGGTCAAAACGCGATGTTTTATCATTATTTTTTATTACAAAATCAATTAAGAACAACAGAAAATAAAATGTTTGACTAACCTGGAAAATGTCTCCTGAGTTTGACATTCCATTCACTAGGTGAATGAAATGAATGATAGTCACCAGGTCCCAGGTAAATTACACAGTGATATAGGCTTTTATTGTTATTTGATGCTAATTCCTTTAGTGTAGAACTGGATGGTTGATCTGGTCCAAGGAAGGTTTTCATTGAATAAGTTATTCCTTTGACTTGTTCAACCATGTCATTTTCCACCTCACCAAAATGGAGCACAGTCCCATCAGCTGGACTCACCTAAGAAAAACATAAATTATCAATTTGATGTTGAGCATAGAAATGCACCACGTAAATCTAACAGTCTTTAGATCTACCTCAGATTCTCCTAACAGAGCACTAAAGTTGTGTGTAGAACTGAGTAATAAGAATATTGATATTTGCAGAAGAACAAGAACCAGCTGAGAAAACCTGTCAACACAAGACAATGGAATGTCTGCTTTCCCTAAAAACATAAATGGCATAGAGGTAACATTGTGCTAGGGGTTATCAGGTTATGCGCTGCAGACTGTGCACATAGAAGGGAACTGAGTGAGTTAAATCTTCACTAGTACTTTACCCATCCCTCACAACTCAATTACATAATCTGAGCAGATACTTACAACAGAGCTGGCATCACAGATCTTTCTGGCATCAGGTTTAAGTTGCCTTCTAAAAAATGCTCCAAGACTTGGATAATTTACAAGTTCTTCTTCAACTGCTTCAGCAACATTGCAAGCAAAATACCATGAAAATGAACCAAGAATTGGTTTACGTAACCACAATGGCAAGTCAACATCACACACTTTGCCCCAAGCGCGAGAACAAACTCTTGTGGGTAACTTCTTGAACAATGCAACCTAAAAAAGCAACAAATCATTAGTAAGTAGAATCCAAAAGTTTCGTGACGTGACTACGTAGTCACACAGTTAGTCACGCAATCTCACCTGCCATTGACTTGGTTCAACGGATTCGCCTGCCTCGAGTTTTCGTTTTTCTCTCTCCTTGATGTGCCAGAATTGCTGATAACACACGTAGGCGAAACCAACACTCGCTGGAATACTAAACCAACGAAGAGTTCCAAAATAGCTTCGTACAGCAGTTCCTAGTCTCTTCGCCCCTAAAAATGGACAAGAAACCCATTTCAGACTTCACTCAAACGGAATTACAGCACACACAACATTGAGAAGATTTTCACCCGCTTAAATAGTACAATACGTGGATCGAAAGAAATGTTGGTGGCGAGCACTCATGAACTGTACAAACTTGTTGACAGCCTGTCTTTGTTTATCAATACGAGCTAAAAATTTTGTGCAAAACTCAATGATTTCACGAAAACGAAGTTTACGTCTTTTCAGTCGACGAGCTTACCTTTCATTGCATGGTATCTACGACAAGGATAGAATTCAAGGATAAAAACTTTACTGTACAGAATAGGTAAGCTAGAACGTGTTGTAACAGCACGCGTGGACTTCACGACCGTCACTGAAGATCGTATGTAGGAATTGTACAAAAACGACTTCGCAGATCCACGTAATATGTTATACATCATAAAAAGATGAAATCACGTTTTCTCTCTGACCTCTTCAAACCAAGAATTAACCTAACAAAAGGAGGCATTACAACGAAAAAGCTGACAATAGCTATTGCGCCATGCTGCCTCGTGGGGGATCAAGGACTTGTACTGAATTCTGGGATGTTTTGATTTGTCTCTAGGGAAGGGAGGGTTCGTCAAAATTGTTCGACTTCTCGATCACGTGCTAAGTGGAACTACGTCAAAGGTCAACTTCGATTTTCCTAGCAGATTGCCAAAATTTCCGTGGTAAAATGTGCATCTCGGAAATCAAAATCATAGAGCTCTTGTTTACATCGCTGAACGAAGATTTTCTTTGTCTAAATGCTATGGCACGAACACTTATGTATCACTTGTTTTACACCGAGTTCAAAGTTCTTCTTCTCCAGTATATCACGTGATAGAGTCCACCCAAGCCGCGCCAAGTAATTTTACGGCCCTTTGGAAAATTGACATTTTTTTTTATCAATAATCTCCTTACTAGGTGCTTTCAGTTTGGTTGTTTTTTTGGTGAAAACTTTTCCGACTAAATAAATCTGTTAGATCGTGTCAAAATTAAACTCCCATGTAAGCGTGGTAGTACCCTACAAAGAGGCGTGATATTACCAAGCCGCGTTACTAGGAAAACCTGTTTTACTCAGATAACTTTAACTAGTAAAGAACACCAGACGGTACACGGTATCATTAAACTTTTCGCAAGGGCTGTTTTATGACTTTTATTGAATTCTTGTCAGGGTTAACCCATTGCAGCCAACATAGGCTGGTTTAAATGGGGCCCTACAACGGACTTGGACAACTTTATTTCACACTTTTATTTCTACATGTAAGAAGATATTACTGGAATATTCAAAGAAAATACAGCGATTTTGTTAGCGAGGCATATGACTTACGCGAGTTGCCTGCATTCGAGAAAGGAATTTTAAACCACCAATCCGCAACCTCCACCGTACCGCGACATACGCGAATTATTATTTCACATTTTCCCCCACAGACGTTTTAGGCGAAGACTTTACCCCGAAACATTTGCCAAAAGATTCGCGATCTCCTGTGATAAAAGGATTTAAGTGCAAGCCTTATTCCTGTCCTAAAACCTAACGCCAACCGCACTTGCACTTATCTCATCTAGTCTTTATTTACATGTAATTTTCTAGTCGACGCCTAATTTTTCAACTCCCGCAGGCAAAATGGCAAGCAAAATGGTCAAACAAGATTCAGCGAGGCAATCCCAACTGTATGTTGGAAATATATCGAGCTAAATAGTCCATGATTATCAAAGAACATGACGTTTCACTCCATTGAAGGTGGAGAAGGCTGGAAACGTACCGCTTCGACTGGTTACAAACCCGATGAAACCGGTTTGGCCGCGACGGTCGAGCGGTCGTGATGACAGAATGCAAATTCACTTGAACATTTGTACATTACCGTGCTGGATGTCGGATGGTCGTTACCGTACCTTTCCTTGTCGTCCTGTGTAGAAGGGTCTCTGATTTATTCCTTACGGGCCAAACAAGGCCATAGCTTGCGAAGGCGACCACTACGACGAGACAGATCGCGGAATGAGCATAAAGAACGCACGACATAATCCAAGTGGAATCATGTCTCAGATCGTTCAGGTGGCGATAACCAGCAAAAGAAATTTCATCATCAGCGTGTAACCGCATTTTGAAGCGATAGTATTAAGTACAGTCGAGGATAGTAAATGTAATGTCGTTTATCCCTTCGAGTAGGAATCCACGACAAACACAACGTCTTGTGTACTTTCACGTGAAAGACAGCAGCAGGAGATTCTACATATTTTATTAGATCGTATGTTATCCGGGAGTTTTTTTGATGGAAAATGGAATGATCTGATTGGTTATCGGCTAAAATCTGTCTGGTGTGCACGTGCACGTAACGGGATTATGCAACATGGATAATAAACGATGACAAGTAGGTTACTCCTGTCACGAATTCTTGTCGGAACAAAGCAAAACCAAGAAATAAAGGAATCACTGTGTAAATTCATCGATTGATTGCTTTTGCTTTTGCTTTGTGCGTTTTCAACTATGTTTCATTTTTGGTTGGTCAGTTGAGCCAATATTAATTGTTGCGAAAGTGGATCAAGGAGTCAGTCGGTCAAGCACAGTTGGGTTTCGTCTACCGTGACAACTGATCGAATCTAAGAAAAGGCATATGCCAAATCTCCAAATATTTCGAAGACTTCGATGATTAAGGCCCATGGCCTAAGGTCATGCGTTATAAACGTCTTTGACGCGCATTAAAATTCAGTTAAAATTCTCAATAGTGTTTCGGGTAGTTGCGTGAAATGTATTTCCCAATCTACAGTAATTTCCCGCTTCACTCCTAAAACAATGAACTCGCAGTTCAGATTGGGTAACCCGAAAACACTGACCCCCGGTACGCGGACCCCCACTACGGACCGGGTCCGCGGACCACCTATAGACCGGTCCACGGACTACCCCTACGGACCCCTTTACGGACCACCCCCCAAATTAGAATGAAAAAAAAAAAAAAATTTCAGTTATGGGTTGTCTAATAGATCGTGTCGGCGAAATTTCAAACTTTACATTTTGCAAATTCAACGTTCGTGGGGTTCAAGCTCGGGCGCAAGTT